GTGCATGTGAAAGGACATCAGAGGGGAGCATCAATGGAAATAAGGGGGAATAATTTAGCAGATTAAGTAGCCAGAGAAGCAGCTACAGAATTATCATCAGTAGTTTTATTGGTAATAACAACGGGGGATTATGAGAATTTAGCCCCGAATTTCACAGAACAAGAGAAGGTTATACTTAAAAATAGGGGGGAAAAAGATCCAGAAAGAAAATGGACTTTACCAGATGGAAGATAGATGTTAAATAAAACATTATCATGAGAAATTCTGTCATTAATACATCAGAAAATACATTAGGGAATGCAATCACTTTGTGATCATTTTCTTACACAATATGGGTGTATAGGAATATATACGGAGGCTAAACAACTAGTTGATCGATGTCTGATTTGTTAAAAAGTGAACAAAAAGGTAATGAGAAAAAGGTGGCTGGGGAACAGGAGCTAGCCATACAAAGCCTCCAGGTAGACTTAACAGAGCTACCTCAAATACAAGGGTGGAAGTATTTGTTGGTATTAGTGGCTCACTTAACTCATTGGGTGGAAGCAATCCCCCACACCAAGGGCAGTGGCAACCATGGTATCCAAGATGTTATTGGAAAACATTATCCCAGATATGGATTAATAGAAAGAATAGACTTGGACAGAGGAACACATTTCATTTTAAGAATTATGCAACAACTATCTGAAGCCTTAGGGATCGAATGGGCGTGGCACACTCTATGGTACCCTCGGAGTTCTGGAAGAGGAGAAAGAATGAATCAAACTTCAAAACAACCCTTGACTAAGTTAATGATTGAGACTCAGATGTCATGGATTAAATGCCTGCCATTGGCCTTATTAAGGATCAATACTCAGCCACGTGCAGACCTGGGTATTTCTCCCTATGAAATGATGTTTGGATTACCATATATGAGTAAGGACAGGGATATTGTCACCCCTGAAGTAGGAGATCAGTATGTAAGAAAGTATGTAATAAGAATAGCTAACACTTCAATGAAACTAAGAAAGAAAGGGCTTCTGCCTCAAATGCCACCATTGGATTTTAATATCCACAATGTAAAACCAGGTGATTGCGTATTGATAAAAGTGTGAAAAGATTAATCATTAACTCCCAAGTGAGAAGGTCCATTTCAGGTGCTGCTGACCACCAAGACAGCGATCTGAAGAAAAGAAAAGGGGTGGACTCTTGCCTCCTGAGGAAAAGGACCAGTGGAAAAGCCTCGGGAGTGGACTGTGGTACCATCAACTGACCAACTACAAGTCACCCTCAAAGGACTAAGTAAATTCATCAGGAGGGGATTGAATGACTCTTAACCAGTGGTTTGACTGGGTTTTTGACTGGGTTCAGAGGTAACACTGTGAAAATTTACTTATTCATTTACTTACTTGATGTATATGGAACCACAAAAAATGTCAGGGAAAAGCTGGCCTTTACCGAGCATTAACTGGCGGACAAGTGTCAGACTGGCTTTTGGTAATAGATTGTGAGCATTTTGGATTCAATCAGGCATTGCTATAATATCAATCTAATAGCGTAATACCTTGTCTCGAGTGTATATACGGATGTCATGAAGCATGGGGTTTGTGTGAATGTGAAATGTGTCACCGGAGGTGGTATTTCTCGCAGATGGAGAAAATTGTGTTATAACTGTAATAGGGACTGTGAGTATAGGGAAGGAGCACGAACTGTAACCTTGATTTATGGGAAAAAGAGGTTAGTCCCCGGAATTTTGGATGTCCCTGAGGGTTGATGGAAGGACACCATCAGAAAGTGCCAAAAGTTTGCTTTGCTTAGAAACAAAGGAAGTGGCTACAAAGGAGCTGCACTTGAATTGACTGTTAAAACATGGATTCGTTAAACAGCAGACAGTAGAGGGCAAGACCAGGTTAACCTCTGTGCTCGCTACCAAGAAGACCTTTTTCTCAGCTGTGGGCTGCAACCCCATATGCATGAGAGGTGGGAGTATATGTTATACCGGACCTCTGCTAATCATCCTGGTACAGTTTGCTCTAATAGCAGCAAATCCGTGCATCAAGTGCTTACTGTTATGTCCAACACCAGAGTGTGGAAAAAGGTTGGATTTTTCTTCCTTAGTGCTATGGCAGGCTTACTGTTCTTAATGTGTTTAATACCCTGCTTTATACAGCTAATATCTCATGTTATTGAGGCGATGCAAATAACAGCAATGTTGATAAACCCTGAAATGGCTGCATTGGCTGGTGCCCACAAAGTTATATTAAGAGAAGAATGAGACTAAGTGTTAGTAAGCTCAAGCAAAACAGAGTATTAAAAAGGAAAAGGGGTGGTTTGTGATAAATAATAGAAGAATTTTGCTTTCATTTAAGTAATTAAACAATTACTTCTAATGATCCAAATTTTAAGAAAAGTAAAGACTTTACTACTGGGAAAAGAAAAGGGGGGAATTGATCTGAGGAAACACCAACCCAACAGCCCCCCCTCCTTGGGATGCTCACCAGATGGTCCATATCAAAGGGTGGTAACTCCTTTGCAATGGAATGAGAAAGAACAGAACGGGCCATCTCTGGTATCCTTTGTCCTTGAGAGAAGAGAGGAGCTGAAACCACTGAGCCATAAAAGACAAAGGAGCTGCAAATTGGCCCAGACTTGAAGGACAAGGTGTACTGTGACCACAGGACTGAAGAAAGAAGAAGGTAAGATTGTAGAAGAAGCCAGGAGGCGTGCCGAAGGTGTTGAAACCGGCAGCTGTGTGGATAAAAGGGGGTTTCAAACTTAAACAATTTGGTGAGCCTGGATGGAGCTGCGACTCCTCGGCCACACCAGCACTGCATTTGCTCTCTTACCTTAATAAAGATTCATTAATCCATATTTGGATGTGATTTGCCTTAATCTACCTATAACAGACAACGTGAAAATAACAACAGTATTATAAAAAAGGAGGATTTCAGTGAACAGTTGGAATGTAAAATCTGACTTTTCTTTAATGAAAACAATTAGCTAATTTTCTAAATCATGATACAAACTGTGGCCAGACTAGCAAATAAGGGCTATACTAATGAAATTGCTGCTATATCATCCATAGGAAAATAGGTTTTAAAATAAGACTACTTCAAGGGAGTAGCATAAAATATAATTTTGAATTCAAGAAATGAGTCTACCAGGTGCAGCCCAAGCTACAGAAGCCTAGAAATTAAAGGAATTTTTTTCTTCTTTTCATTGTATAGAAAATGTAAGATTTGGCCGGTAAGTGAGCTGAGGGAAGCTAGTCTGAGTATTTGTTGTTTTAAAATCTTACTAGCTCAAATTTTTTGGCTGCTCTACCAAAAATAAAGAGTATTTTATTATTTTGCATTAGTATTTTAAAATAAAATCTTAAAAATCATTCAGGGAAGAGTTGTACAGCAAGAAAGAAAAAATCATACAACTTCAGAACAAAACTATAACAAAGTGACATTTACACATCTGCACACACAGTAGTTGCAAAGTATATGGAAACACACATTCAGTCTGTGGAAAAGTTTTTCCAGGTAACAAAGCCTGTATTAAAGCTGCATTTGCATTAGCAGTTCAGTGTGAAACACCACTATGGTTTTCAGGCACATTCCTTTATTGTTCCCACATACCATTTTGGTTTACAAAGCAGTGCTGGGGCATGCAAACTAGATTTCTTTTTGAAGAGAATGAACTAGAAGCTTTGATCCACAAGTGCTCCAACTCCTAACAGAGCTGGGTCCTCAAGACTCTAACCAAACAATGGATGTTCCACACAGCTCTGAATAACACAAGTCTGACCTAAAGTAACATCTCCCAACCACAGTGCAGTGATGATGCAGAATTCTCAGAATCAACTGCTTTCATCTACTGCTCTGTGCCTGCAGCACTAATTACTTGTTAATATCAACATAACTACCTTGGCATAATATAAAGTGTTTGAGGATTAAGAATCTCTGGTGCTAGAGCTGCAATACTCCAGCTGTCTGTCTTAAAGCCAATAAAATAGCGTCAACGTTTTAACAGAGAACACAAAACAGATTTATATATTAAAATTATTTTTATCTGCTTAAGCACAAGGATAGGAGAAAGTAGTACATTGTATTCAATTAGGATTACAGTGTTTACTAATCTGTAGCCTAAAGGCAGAGTTAAGCTCTAATACCTGAACTATCTAGTCTCATTTCTTAAGCAGGCATTTTAAGTGAAGGTAAAATTTCAGATTATTTGGCCCACACCACATACGACTAGAAAAAAGATAAAGCAGAACCTTTTCTAAGAAGAAAAGTAACGTACAGAGAGAATCTGAAATCAGACTTTTTTTTTTTTTTTCTTTTTAAAGGCGCTGTAGATGCGTATTTAACAAATAGCTGCAATTACGTTTTAACTAAGTGTTTAAAGGTTAAATTGTACCAACAACTGTGAAAGATCACTAACTGGAATAAGACATCTCAGGCTGTGGAGCACTGGAGTAATAATGTAGATGAATTCTATAAAGTCTAAGTCTGCTTACAATATGTGCCAAAGAAATGCGTAAGATATCAATTATCTCTCCAGACTGACATAAAGAACTCCACAATTTCACATATTTTTAAGTGTAGAGCTGTAATTGTTAGCTACCTGACAATTTCACATATTTGCTCTGCTAAGAACTTGGTTGAGTATGCTTTCCACAAATGACACAGGTGTTTAAAAACCTAAGTGAATATCCAAGAATTAACATTTTGTACTATATTTCAAAATTGTTTCCTAATTGCCCTAGTTATGCTGTTAACTCATAAAAAATGCTTCTTTTAACAATCTGTACAATTTATTTACTGTCTTATCAGTCTTCACTGATTTGCAGTTTAAGCACTAGTAAGAATGTGTTTTGACACTTAGAACCTAAATTCTACATGTCTTGTTGAGTAAGAACATTATGACCACCACTCAAAATGCTCTATTATAGAAAACACACATTATGAAAATACTAATTAAATACTTTTGCCCAATTACCTGGGAGATAACACAGCATGTGTTATTTTATGTACCTGATTTCAAGATGCAGCTGATCATTGCATTTACCTTTCAAAAGTTGGTGTTTCTGTTTTTCCTTCAGATAAACTAGGTCTTGAAATTTTCTGTAATAATTAATGATATTTCTTTTATTTTACATTCATGAGCAACTGATTACAATATAAAGTTGCAGAAATAATTTCACACTACATTCCCATAAATCCGCTATGTAGCACAGACTAAGCATTGATCTTGGAAAACTATTTGCAAACACCTGTACCACGTTTAAAAAAAACCCAAGCAAAACAACAACCAGAAACAAAGCAAAACTTTAAAGTAATTCTTGTAGCCTTTTTCACAGACAAAATTTCATTTATGCCTTATTGAATAGGATGCAAACTAAGTCTGGACAGCTTTTTTTTGAAGGGGAAAAAAAAATCTGAAACAAACTTGTGTTTTGCTAGCAAAAAACAACTGCAAAAAAAGCAGAGGAAAGGCCAGGAAGACAAAGTTGAGGCTAATATATTTTTTTAAGCATTACACAGTGTTTTAGCCCTTTAGATGTTATTACAGTAAGTATAAGGAAGATGCTTAACAAAATGCTTGCACAGAAGAAACTTTTGAGTCTCTATTAAAATGTACCCAATGAAACAAATTTTTAACTCTAAACATGAACAAAGGCAATTTTTTTCTCCCATTTTTAGAACAGCAGAAAAACAAGTGACTGAAAACTGCCATTTGGAAACAGCCACACTGTGTCTTCTAAAGGCATCTCCTATGCTACAGGGCATATGTCCCATAAAATTTTATTCTCGTGCCTAAGTGACAAAATTAAGAAATTAAACTTTTCTTCTGTTCGATTACAAGTGTAAGTTAATTTTGGTTTTGAAATAGAAAAGATCACTGCACATAAAGATAAACATTATTATTATTGTCTTAATAGTTAAATCTCTTAAATAGTTAAAACTGTGTCAACAATGTTGCATACTTTCAGCATAGTATTTTTTTTTTCCCCCCAGAGGTGATGTATTTTCTTTCAATGAGGCCAAATTGTGCAGCAAATATTTTAAATTTATATGGTAAAGTTACACTTAGTCTATCTTCTAAAATACCCTTTGCTCTATTTCTATCACACTTTGTTACATTTCTGTCATAGAAAACCCCTACACATATGATTCATGCTACGAAACACTTTCTGACTTAAAATTACTGCACTCTACTTTCTACTACAGAACCTCCACAACCTTCTTCTGCCTTGGCTGCCTGTATTCCCTCCTGGGATCTACCAGCAAATGGAGATTTCTTGACTTAACTGTCTGAATTTTAAATGCTATGTTTTTAAACAATATGATACATCAATTTATATTTTGGGTTCTTCAACACCCTAGGACTTTGTCCTTGACCACCTGCTGTGTATGTCAACAAACAGCCAAAACATCAAACATCCAGATGCAGTGAAATAACAGGCATTCCAGGGCACCTTGGAAAAAAACACCAAAGGTTCCACATAGCCCAGACCACACTGAAAAGCAGCTTGCTGTTGTAAAAGACCTTGGTTCAGATGTCCTGCAAGCTCAGACAGCTATTCTGTCTGTATTCTCCATCTTTTCCAACTGTAAGGGCTAGGGTGTGTGAATCAGTTTGTTTTGAGGGGGATGTTGCATTTTTTTGTTTTATTTTTAAATGAAAGCCAGTATTATAGAACACAATATTGTGGAGCAAAAAAAATGCAAATTCAACATCTTCTATAATGCTGAAACACAATATGGGATGAAAAAAGAAGAAAAGATAAAGCACACCTGAAGTGGTAATGGAAAGAAAAAAGGTATGGAAAGACAAAGTGGTACTGGCTATGTTTGAGAAGCTTGCTTAATGCTGCTGAATGAAGATGAACATTTCTCACATTTCTACAAAATCATTGCTTCTGTTAAAAACCTCACCAACCCCTTTGTATTTTGGAAAGTAGACAAGCAGTGTTACAAGAAAAATCTTCACTAGGTCTGAGGCCTTCTTATACTCTTTCACTGGCTGGGATTTCTGTAACAGATCGCCCTTTTTAAAAGGCTAATAGAAAAACAGTTTACAGACAAAAAAAATCTGTAAAATCAAAATCCAAATATGGGATGTTTGAAAAAAAAATTAGGATTATGTACTGAGATCATTTAGCTTCCTGATAAGCAGAAAGCAGGGGAAGATTTGTACACACACCTAGGAAAAAACAAAAACAAAAGAAACGGTCAGGCCTGAAGAGGCATTTCCAAAGATTTTCCTCTTGAAAGAAGTACCACTAAGAAAACCCACACCAAGATACAGTTCAGAGTCAATATTTACCCAGATCTCTGGTTATATTTCAGGTCACCTTCCAGGTTACCTGAAGATACATAAGGCAACTAAACCATTCCTTCACTGCAGCCTGGCATATAGATCAACCAGAACGGACTGACTGCAGACTGGAAGTCTTTGGGTGTGACAGACATACAAAAGGCATCCCTCCAACACTGCCATGTCTTTCTGTAGTAAAACACAGAAAGCTAGATTTTTGCATTATGCATATCTTCTGAACACCGTGACTCAGTAGTGTATGTATAGTCAAAAAGAACTGTCTTGGATCTTCAAACTAGTTTGAAGTTCAGAGATAGACTGTGTGGAGAAAAGACAAGACATTACCTCCAACTTAGCTTCTCTCTCTCTAATGGAAATTTCGGTCTTTAACCTATTGGATAATGAATTAAGATTCATTGATTTAAAATACTGTATGGTTAAAATAGAGATAACCATGAAGATATTTACAGTAAGAAAGTAACTTGGTAATCTGAAACCCATTTTTGAAGTTGATACTTATTTTGAGCTTAAACATACTTGAGAGTTCCAGGAGAGCATTTCAGAATTTTAAATGGTTTTAGTGGATATATAAAAATTGTAAGATAAACTTGTTTCATGTATCCTGTTCCAGTTATGTCATCTCATGAAAACCAGGAAGCAACAGTCTTAATATGTTTAGCAATACTTTTATTCTAGTGCTTACTGCAATTCTACATGAGGAATCATCTCACCATAAAGCCCTTTTAAACCACGGCTGATTTATTTAAGATCTGAAATGCTAAATTAAATGCATAAACTATATTATAACCCAACAAAAACATTCTGCAAAACTAGCTCACTTTCAATTATCTACCATAACCCAAATATCCAGTACACAGCTGTAGTTTACTTTAGGGCAACTGTAAAACATTGCAGCTGACCTCCAACTACTATTTGGAGGAAATACTTCTCTCAAAATACCTTCACAGGCACAGTCCATATATTAGATGAGCTATACATTATTTAAATTTATTGACTTTTAAAACCACATTAATTAAACAGCTTATCACAACATCACTAAAATTGATTTTCTGTGTTTATTTAAAAAAATGCTATTGCAGAGATAGCAAGAAGTATGTCTCCTACAAAACCTTGTTAAGTCATCAGTTCCAATATAAAATCTAACCTTTAAAGGTTTCCTGTGAAAAAAAGAAAAACTAACAAAATCCTCAGAATTGCTTATGCCTGTATCTTCTTTGTTGATGCTGCATTAAAGGCAAATTTAATCTGCTGAAGTATGGTGCTGCCTTGTTATACTGAAATAATGTTATTAATCATAAATTAAATGATTCATGACCTCAGTGAGTCTTAATGGTTGTCTACAATGTACGAAATACTTGACAGTAGAAACAGCGTTACCAACTTAAAATTTATTTAAAGTGTATGCTAAGACTAGATTCATATCTACCAAATGTGTTTTCCTAATCTAATCCAAGAGCAGTGCTAAACCCAGACCTTTTAAAGAATTCTAGCACATAGTTTCAGCACACCATAAACACCTTGTAACACTAATGTTCTAGCAGCTAACCAACAACTTAGCAATAAATGGTTGTTCATACTACAGTCCATTTTAATTATTACATCTTATTTTGCAATGAAAGGTAGTAAAAATAACTACTAAAAAAAGTATTTTAAAATAACATTTCTATGATAGCACTGTAACAACACTCATCTAATTAACACTAAGAAAAATGATCTGGGTTAATCAAGTGACAAACATTTTTTGGGTCAGGGACTTGAAACACTCTGAAGTACTTAATCATGAGTAGCAACACCGGTAAAAAATGATGCAACACCAAATATTTAGCTTAGCTTCACTGCTTTAATGATTTATATGCAAGGACTTAAACATGTTGGAAATAGGAATTTGTCTAAAAGACAGTCACTCTTAAAAGAACAGAACAATTCAGACAGATAAATCGGATATTGTATATTCAAGGGCAAAACATACTGCTGTTCTTGTCTGAATAAATCTAAGTTTTGCCACCTAAAATAAAAGGGTATGAATTGGATCCAGCATCTGTAGATTATTTTAAACACATTATAAACATTATCTTACATGATCAAATTCTGAAACATTTATGTTCTGTGGTCACGTTTTATAGCTTATAAAACAGATGCAAACTGGCAAGTTTTTGTTGTTTTGGAAGTAAACAGGGGTTTATAACATTTTGTGATAACCATATCTTTGTTAATACAGTTTACCTTGGATTCCTGACATATATTCTTAACCTTAATTCTGTTTAGGAATAGGTTTTAGAAAGTAGTTGCTTCAAATCTGTAATTAGCCCAAGTTTCAGAAATGGATACTAAAACACAGAAAACTATGGTCTTGGTGATGTTCCCAACACTTTTATGATATCAGAAACCTTAGATTCTATAGTTCCTAAATAGCAACAAAGGAAACGTACTTATCTTACATCGGTGGAAATACAGTGGTTCTGGAAAGAACTTTACGGAAATACAAAGATTGTGACCATCTCCAGGAAGTACAGACTACTGGTCCACAATTCTGAGCCATTTTGAAACCTCTCTAGAACTCTCCAAAGATTTTTTTATTCTACATAAACTTCTAGTTAAGAACAATGGGTAAATACCCCTTAATTGTCAATCCCTTAAAAAAAAAAAAATGCCCCAAAATGTAGCAGCTGAGCAAAAAGTTGCAGCTTGAGACACTCAATAGAATGGACTGGCCATAAAACCAAAAGAGACTCAGAATAAAAGCCACGTAATAATATTGGACTCCTTAAAGTCTAAATTCAAG